CAAAGATGAGGTGAGAGACAAGAGAGAGGACAGAGACGGTTGAGATGAGGAAGCAGGAAGAGGTGAGTCTTTGTTTCTCTCTGGTATCATCTGCGTCATCAGAGCCTGTCTACTGTAAGTGTGTGTGTGTGTGTGTGTGTGTGTGTGTGTGTGTGTGTGTGTGTGTGTGTCCCTCCATAAAACACAGAGACTTCTTTATTACTGTAACTGCTTTGTCGCACCGCAGTTTGACCCTGACCTCTCTTTTCTCTGTCTTTACCACCGGCTCTGCTGAAAGATTTTGTCAGGTCTGTTGAGAAAGAAAAGAGCGAGACTGAGAGAAAGAGGAGAGAACACAACAATGAGAAAAGAACCAGAAAGGAAAACATTTCCTCTGTCCGCCGAGGGATCTGCGTGTGCAGATTTAACACTGCTGTCAGTCACCACAACAGAGCGCAGTTTCCTGCACACTTTGTTCTCCTCCGGTGTAACATCACTGACGGACACGCGGCGGGGTGGACAGTATTAGCAGCGTGTCTGACAGGAGCTGTCATCGCTTTCTCATAAATGTATGTTCTCCGAGCTAAGAATAACCACGATCTCTGCATGTTTGAGGTCTACGGATTACAGGATTACTAGAACACTAGAACAGGAGATAAATGCCTTTGGAAATGTGTCTTGTAATCAAAACAGTCTAACATGATATTAGAGTTGACAGATTCATTAAAGAAACATTATGTGGGGGATTCAGTTTAGGTACGCTTTGGCGCCAACCGAAGGTCACTGAGTGCAACTGCACACATCTTCCCTTCATCGACAAGCTGTGCTGGTGGTGACAAAGACGTTGTGAGAAGCCAAAGAACCATGTCCACTGATAATATTACCAGAATGTGTGCAAAAATCTGACTCGGAGCTAGCGCTAGCATCTTTAGCCCAGTTAGCATGTTTAGTATGTGGATGTCCGTTACCATGACGTCTACAGGCCGTGGCTATATGTCTACATTGGACAGGGGAAATTCATTACATCTCATTAGTTGAGATATGGTTGTAAAGCTTGTACTTACCTATCTCATCGTATTAAGCTAATTTGAAAATGGACGAGGAAAGAGACAACTTTTTGGTGTAAGATGGATTTATTTCTTTATTTGTATGCAAGCCTGCAACAAAACTTGGGTCAGATGACTTTCTGCAAACCGGTAAAGCTGTTTAACACGAGACAACGATGACATCGATAGTGCTAAGTCTCAGTCTGTTCTGAATAATATCTGACGGGATGAATACTTTGCTGTCGGAATGTTGCTTACCATGAGTCAGATCATAATACTTCTTGCCGGGCTAAAGTGTAACCGGATTCTTTGCAGCAGGCAAATGCGATACACTAGCTGACCAGCAGATGGCAGTGTTTTTTTCAAATGTACAATTAAAATCATTTCATTTTGGTTTTAATTCAGCTGAATAAAGTTTGTGGACATTCAGCTCTAAGCATATATAAGGAAAATAAAAGAGGACCCAAAACAGACCCTGAGGCACACCGTACTAGGAAATCGCAGGAGTCTCTCAACATCAGCAGCTGTTAATCATCTATAAGGAAGGACGCTATATCTGGCTGACAAATCGACAATAGCTGCCATTTTTAATAAGAATTTCTGATGGCGGTTATTGCCTTTTATTCAACAGTGAAAGCTGCAGAGAGAAGGAACTTTGGGGAAGAGAGAGAGAGGGGATAACTGAGGGCTAAAAAACGTCAGAACCAGGACAGTTGTTGCAAGGATCCCTTGTACATAGAGCTAACAGGTCAGGTGTCATGGATGTTCTTACTACCCAAGCTTTGCCCAGTTCAAACTATTTATCAGTAAAGTTGACAGAAACCTAAATGACCATATTTAAAATGTGGATCCAAACAAATATTCAAAACTTCTAGGTGCTGACAATTCTTTACATTAGACCGTAAATGACACGGTCAGAAGGGTATGGTGAATTTCAGTTTCCTGATAACCGCATGTGAGTGGCTGGTGTGCAGGTTTGGGTTTCCTCCAGGTACTTTTACTAGCGCAGGTCATTCCTACTCTACTCTGTCTCTCTGCAGACTCCTCACAGTCATGTCGTGTTGTGTCTCTGTCTCTGTCTCTGCTCCGTGTGAACTCTGGGAAGTCCCTTGAACTCCGCCTGCTGCTCATTCCCTCCCATGAAAACAACAACAGGCAGCAAAGGAGAGGAAGAAGAAAAAAGGAAGGAGAGAGAAAACAAAAGAGAGTGAACGGAGCAGACACGGGGGCAGACATTAGGAGGCAGGGAGAGGAAGACTTATAGAATCTACTCTTCAAATGAGAGCTCGCTGTACTGATGTGTTTCCGGCTTTGATCAGGAGATACTTGCAGAAGGGGGTGTCAACCGACCCAGTTAATGGGGGATACCCCTAAATTGCCGCGCTGCCTCTGACAATGAAAACCCCAGAGAGTATTTATATAGAAAACAGCTCACAAAGGAAGATCTATCGGTTTAAATCCCAAAAGATTTCAGGCTCAACCCTGAACCCTGGGATCTGAAGAGCTGATGGGCAGAGAGCCGTGTATACAAACAAAACATGTGAAAGCACATACGAGTGCACACACACATTATGTGGTCGTTGGCTTACCCTGGATGACGTGTGTGTGGCACTGCTGGATGCCAGTGGACCCTCGGCCATCCTCTCAAACCTCTGTACAAGACTCTCCTCTCAAACCTCTGTACAAGACTCTCAGTTGCCTGCAGGGAAAAAACACAAATCACACATCCTCACATTGCTCATCCTCAAGACAAACAAAAAAATAATAACCAGTATGCAGCAGAGTATTCTTTTGCTCCACAGACAGTCCACATGCCTGGGATCCTGACAGCACACAGATGACCAACTTGTTTGTCCATCTTTGACGCCGCTCTGTGCCCCGTCTCCCGCCATCTCTGCCCCGTCTCTAAATGTCTTCATTGTTCCTTCAGGTTCACACGTTGGTCTTGCTGTCTGCTGTTTTTGTTTCTCTTGTCAGGAAGCCAGAGATGCTACTTGACAAGCAGCTTCCCCTCAGAGCCGACCACGTATAATATTCCAATAACATCTTGGCTGTCTGGGTAATTGATTTAAAGTGGTCTGGTTCTCTGCTGGAGAAGACTGCACGAAAACCTTCTGCAGACAGCAGACGTTTGAAAGCATTATCTTTTCTACTTTTCTTCGATTAAATATTATCCAAAACCACCTCTTTAAAGTAGCACTCCATTGTTTTGACTGTCAGAGACGATTCAATAGTACTGCTAAGTGCTTCTTAATGTTTGCAAACAGAAGTATCATGTCTTCTGTGGCAGGGATTCTCCAAGCTTGTTGTCGTACGGGCAATCACTTTTCAACCGGCTGAAATTACAACATCAACGTGTCAGATATCATTACTTGTTTATTACCATTGATGCTAAGGCTGAAATGAAGACTGAAATGATTATTAATAGCATTCAGTAATGTGACTGGCGCGGGGGCTTGGAGGGCAAAAACGAACGTAGGAAAGTAGAGGCCACCATCAGACTCACTGCTGAGCTTCAGCGCAGGCTTTTAAATTATACATCTCTTCAAAACGACATGTTAACATCACCTAACCACAGAAAAACAGAGCTATTAAGATAAAGGTTTCGCAGCACACAGGACATCATTTCCATCGCTAAACATGGCTATGTCCGTTCCGGTGTTATGGTTTAAAGAGTGACCATGTTAACTGGCGACTTTCAGCTGAATGTGTATGTGGTTGCCATAGTTACAACAGATGTTGAAAACGGAAAATGTCTACATTTGCATATACAGCGGACACACTGATGCAGAGAGAGTAATGTATACATTCAAGACATGTGAAGGCATATACATTGAACACAGACATTATGTGGTTGCTGGTTCACCCCGGATTACTTGTGTGGCACTGCAGGACACTATAGAGGGTCTCACAAAAGATCCTATCAAGGAGGTTTAAGCTTCCAACAATATACAGATTTAAAGGAGTCAAATGTAACTCTGACACCTAGTGTTTAAAATGGGTACTGCAGTCCAGATTCTAAACATTGTAGAGAGCTGTCCCCCCCCCCTCCTCTCTAGAGGCGATTCTCACACAGGTTGCCATGTGGTGGACACGGAAGCTTCAGTGTTTATCCAGCTCTGCATCGGTCTGTAAACCTTTCTGCGTTCTAACCTCTCTCCATTTTTCAAAAGCATCTCCAATATTGATCCTAGTTTGAGCACGTTTCTGCTCGTGGAGCTTATTAGAAACATGCAGAGGCTTTTTAGGTCGGGTACAATCACTTCTATCTGAACCAGTTCTCTTGCCCGCTTCCATCGCTGCAACACCTGTTGGTTTGACCTGATAACTGGTCTCATGTCAGACAACCCGAGGGACATCCAAAACGGCCGTGTGAGGGTGCCTTAAAACCGCCTACCTTCTCTGGTCCAAACAAATCTGCATCTTTAAACTATCTGTCTTCTAATCTTGGAAAAACATTGTATTCTATGATAGGACATGACAAGCCAGTGTGTCCGAGTCAGACCAGCGTCAAACAATAAAACGTCTTTTCACTTACCATCCATGTAAAATGACAGTAGACATTAAACACCCCCTTATAGCTGGAATGGAATCCTCCATGTGCTTGACTGTGAGACAACTATTATATATGGGGTCAGCCCTATTATTTAGACAAGAGGATGAATACAAATTGTTGCGTCCTTATTCTGGGTGACAGGACCTTCTTCATCATCCATTTTAATCTTGATGGGAACAAAATGTACTAAAGTCACTTGAAACTTGAGTTTGAGACCATAAACTCGTTAGGAAAATAATTACATCTACTGAGAAGAAGGTTCAGTTTCTATACAATCAGACTTCTATTTGCAACTATGGAAGTCGCCCCCTGCTGGCCATTACAAAGAATGCAGACTGAAGGCACTTCAGTTTGGGCTTCAGTTCTGAAACCAGAGACACTCTCTGGGAGTTATTCATTCATTCAGTAACTTTTCCAAGCATCAGAGCGAAAAGCAGCAGTAAAACTCCTTACAGTAATAAAAAGGTAAACGAGGGCATTCAGAGGTCGACCTTGTGTTGCCTGTCTGTGTTTATTTACGACTGATATGATTTTATTTCTTTGTCTGTCTGCCAACAGAAAATGCATCTTGCTAAAAACTGCAGCGATAATTATAGGTCAGCAGAGGTAATGGTGTCATCTGATGCTCCATCTCTGACACAGATCTGCTGCAGAGCAAGAAGGCACACAACACAACGCAAGAACACAAAACAACACGATACCACACGGTGACAGTGACGAGACCCGAGTGAATCCGATCCCGCTCTGACCTGAGGTGATCCTGCCGATGAAGCTCTCGCCTCCTCTGCTCCTCCTGTCGCCTCCTCTGCTCCTGCTGCTCCGCCTGCAACACGTCACAGACTGAAGTCAGAGAGCAGCACTCAGCATGCAGCGCACACAGACTGTTTATAATCAACAAGCAGCAGTGATGTTTACCTCTCAGTGACATAGGATGCAATGAGTAGTCCAGGTACACAAAATGAGACAATAATATAACAATAAACTGTATTTACATAGCAGCTCTTAAAAACAAGGTTTACGAAGTGCTTTACAGGATAAAATGACCGACTGATGAAATGTTAATCATAAAACGATAAGGACAGAAATCACCATCAATAAAACATTACATAAAGTAAACAGTGAAACATAAAACACAGCAATCAAACGTAATAATAAAAACAATAAAAACAGATGAATCACAGGAAGGCTAGACTATCAAAGTGAGATTTAAGAAGAGACTTAAATGAGGAAATAGACTTTGCCATCCTAAGCTGTTTTCACATCTGCACTCTGAAAAATATCTAGATGATTTCAGGAGGACTGCTCCAATTTTTTGCACCTTTTTCAAATTAAGAAAATAAAAGTCCATTCAAGGCGCGTCAGAGAAGGAACTCTTCACTGTCAGCGTTTTATCAAACAGCTGCTCACTTTGAGACGCCCTCCACTGTCTTATTGTATAAAGTGTTTGTGATGTGTTGATGACGCTCTTCCTACTCATGCAATAAAAATCCAATTTTCCTAAATAGAGACGGAAATCCTTTCTGTCCAACTGCAATTTCAGTGAACTCTCTCACCAAAGTCAGCCATCTTTGTCTCATTTTCTTTTTTAGATTCTAGCTGCAGCGTCATGTGCGGGTCAACCATGTGGGCTGTCACAGAGTGTTTTTACTGTAAAACGTAGAAAGACAAATATGGTGGAGCAGGAGCTGAACTTTTTCTCCGTTCTTGTGGTTTAAACACTTAATAATTCTCCGCCCGGACATCATCGGACCGGCCTACATCCCAAAACCGAAGTGGGTAAGGTCGGATTCAGGACCCACGTCTCTGCTAGTTTCTTCTCAGATCCCGACTATAGACTGAGAGGACTCTGCTTCTCATGCATCTGTGCATTTTCCTGGATTACCAGAACATTCCTTTGGCTTCATAGAGGTCATCGTGCAACAGGAAGAGGTCTGCGGAAAAACCGCCATGGTCTTCAGAAGTGAATCACTCCTGCATGTAACTGCAGCAGACCATGGACCACGATTAGAGCATCAGACAGACAAGAAGGAGGGGAGCATGAAACAAGATTAGAGCTTCAGACAGACCAGGAGGAGAGCACGACACACGATTAGAGCATCAGACAGACCAGGAGGAGAGCACGAAACACGATTAGAGCTTCAGACAGACGAGAAGGAGGAGAGCATGAAACAAGATTAGGGCATCAGACAGACGAGAAGGAGGAGAGCACGAAACACGATTAGAGCTTCAGACAGACGAGAAGGAGGAGAGCATGAAACAAGATTAGGGCATCAGACAGACGAGAAGGAGGAGAGCATGAAACACGATTAGAGCATCAGACAGACGAGAAGGAGGAGAGCATGAAACAAGATTAGAGCTTCAGACAGACCAGGAGGAGAGCACGAAACACGATTAGAGCTTCAGACAGACCAGGAGGAGAGCACGAAACACGATTAGAGCATCAGACAGACCAGGAGGAGAGCACGAAACACGATTAGAGCTTCAGACAGACCAGGAGGAGAGCACGAAACACGATTAGAGCTTCAGACAGACCAGGAGGAGAGCACGAAACACGATTAGAGCTTCAGACAGACCAGGAGGAGAGCACGAAACACGATTAGAGCTTCAGACAGACCAGGAGGAGAGCACGAAACACGATTAGAGCTTCAGACAGACCAGGAGGAGAGCATGAAACAAGATTAGAGCTTCAGACAGACCAGGAGGAGAACATGAACCAAGATTAGAGCATCAGAGAGACGAGAAGGAGGAGAGCATTAACCAGGATTAGAGCATCAGACAGACCAGGAGGAGAGCCTGAACCACAATTAGAGCTTCAGACAAATGATGAATGCATGAAGCACTCTCATCCCTGAGAGCAGAGTGCAGGTAGTGCTGTCAACTACCATAACTTGAATCAGATGGTTCTTCTGACGGTGTGTATGTGTGTGTGTGTGTGTGTGTGTGTGTGTGTGTGTGTGTGTGTGTGTGTGTGTGTGTGTGTGTGTGTGAGGGATGACTCTGCTCTGAGACACACAGACCTGCTGATGTTTGACTCTACTGACATCTAGAGGCTAAACACAGAACTACAATATTAAGGAAGGGAGGAGACACCAGAGGGAAATAATTTAAAGGGCGGAGTATCCTTTAGAGGACTTAGGATATAGGATTTGACCCTTAAAAAACAATCAATCAATTATTTTTTTTCATGTTTTTTCTGAATCTGTAGATTTTCTTTTGTTGCCAAATTGTCTTGGTGCTGCTGCATTTTCAGTGAACACCAGACCACAATGCAATGACAGACCAGGATGTAATAAAGCCACTACAGAGGCTTTATTCTGTGTAAATGGCTTAACTCTTTACTGTTGTAACTGCTGTTGCTGGTTCCACCGACTCTCACACTGTGTCTGAGTGTAGCACATTCCTGATGTGGATCTCAGGGATTCTCTCAGTGCTGACTGATTCATTAAAACAGATTAGAAGTGTTATGCAGAGAGGTAGTGCAAAAACTATTAAACTATCACTTCATTGGATTGGGCGTTTCATATGCAAATAGAAGAAGTTTTTTGTTTTGCATAAATCATTTTAAAGAGAAGAGGTGGCATGTCATTTTAGGAACGATTTTGTGAAATTGAACATGTGCATACTTTTGCTAAAGTGCAAAGGACATTTCCTTGTTGCTTGGCTCTCACCTTTTCTCTCTGTACAGCCTTCATCTTCTCCAGCTCCTCTTCCTCTTCTTGTCTCCTCTTCTTGTCACACTCCGCCTTCATTAGCTTCAAACATCAAACATTTCAATCTTTCTTTTCTTTGATACAACAGAAAGAAAATACTCTGAAACATCTTTTTCTGCATCTCAAACATCGTCAATTTGCATACACAGCATGCCTGACTTGTACAGACATAGGGACGAATGAAGACGTCACATTCATACAAACATATTTAAAGGTTTTTATCAACCGAGTGCATGATCATTATGTGTGGATGCTCATTTAAATGTAAGATAAAATCACCTTCTTCCGCAATTTGGAGGAACGTAAGTCTGCAGATTGCTTCTCTCTGGCTTCAGCCAATGTCACATGACCACCTTGATCAATCAAACAGCAGGTTACTTTTCATCATGAAGTATCCTGTCATACAAATATTGAAGATTGTGATATTCATACATACCCAGTTTTTCTGGATTTGTGTGCACAGATGACGGTCTGTTTGCTTCTTTCCATCTCTTAAGGTCCTCTTCTTCTTTTTGGCTTACTGCAGAAGAAGAACAATCCACTTCATAACATGAGAAACACATAAGAACATTTATAAAGATGGACTAATAATGATAGGAGAGTTGAAAGAAGCAGCCTACTCAATATTGTTTTCCTTCGTTGGGATTCATTTGGAGGTATCACAGTGAACACCCCGGTGCTGAGACAGAGATTGACACAGGTGGTTAGTGACAACTTTCAAAGTAAACCTCTAAGTTTTATAGCAAATAAAAAAAGTTGACTGTCCTGATGAAAAACAAAGTTTGAAGTGTGAAAAGAAGTCGAAACTGAAAGTCAGAGGCACTCTGATGTCGTATAGGGATGTGTTTACATCCACCTTTACACACTTCAGAATTTGTTTGTCATCAGGACAGTCAACGATTTTACTTCTGTCCCCTGTTCCTGAAGAGCACCTGGTTCCTCTACATCATTTTTTTGACCCAGTGCAGCACTCACTTCTACCTATTTTCCCTTTAAGTTTTACGTTTAAACGCTTCTTGTTTGTTTAGCCTTATATCACATAAGCAGTTGGGATTTCCGGGAAACAGTGAAGGCACCATTACTTTCTCTACTCCCAAGAAACGAAACTGAAAGAGGTGATTATCAATTCTCCACTAAATGAACAGAAACATGTTATTTTAAATATTATTCATTCTTATATTAGCCTTAAGAGTCAATTCTGTAGGATTTTTAGCTTTTTGTGTAATTACAAAGTAAATACAGTTCCTAACTTTTGACTCAATACTGAGTCAGACTCATAGACTGTAAATATTGGTCAGACTTGGTCAGAATATTGGTCAGACTTCACTGAATCCCTTTAATAACTCCCACCGTCACTTACTGTTGAGGCTCTCTGTTTGTGGGTTGTTGCTGTCCTCGCTCAGGTGTAACAGGTGCACCATCACCAGGCTCACCTGCGCGCCGACCTGTAGACCCGGAGTGTTGTGTCTGCCGGAGTTCAGCTGGTTTCCTCTGGAGTCTCTCTGGTTGTGATAGTTGTCCATCTTACGGCAGGAGAATCTCTAATAATGTCTAAAAGTCTCCAACAGGTAGAACACACGTGGGCCAGCTCCCTTCAGCTCCTATCAGCTGTACTGTGTGTTTACTCTGCTTTCACTAACCACCACATACACACAGCACGGGGGGGGGGGGGGAGGAGTTTTTAAGGCAACAGCGACCTCTGCTGGAGGAACAAGTAGGCTACATCTCGTTTTTATTTTAAAGGTGCATTCTGTAATTTCATGACAACAAAGATCACAAGGTCCATTTCTAACAGTTGTTTCCACGCACTCTTTCGGCCGGCCCCGCAGATAGGTAGATGGAAATATTCTCAAACCCATATCAACCATAGACTGTAAAAGTATCAACATGTAAACGACCAACAGCGTTCCCCATGCGAGGCCAAACCTACATCCTCAGGTGCCGCTCGGTTGCAGGAATAAACAATGAAAACTCCTGTTGCTTTGTCAGGTTGGCCCAGTTCAATCACACATCAACAGGTATTCAAGCCCCGGCCGTCCACTTGGAGGACCGTAACCTCGATATATGGGGCGCACTACCCACTACGCCACAGACGCTACAATCTCGCTTGTAAATGAGAATAAATAACGGTGCATGTTAGTGTCAGACAAAATGTTGTGTTTGTGTCTTTGTGTATTTATTCCAGTTCCCCCCCCACGTTGTACTTTGACCTTTAGAAACTCAAACTGAATGGAGATAAAATGAGTCGAGTCACAATAAGAGAGAAAAAAACAACCACATTTCTTCAAAAACCTCATTTATTAAGAGCTGGCATCTTTAGAAAGAACATGCATGATGTTAATTACAAACCAACGAGACGTTTTGGCAGGGTGTGAACACACACACAACACACACACACACACACACAAAGGAGGACAAATAAATACACCTCAGTCAAATGAATACAAAATCTAAAAGCAGTGTTTGTGTGAGTTTGAAAATAGTGTAGGTCGAATCTGAAACCCGGATTAGATGTGATGTCAGTTCATGTTTCCTGGGCTGAATAACTGTTACATGTCGTGAGTGAAGTTTCATGTTGCCTGAGGTATTTTTAAAAAGAAATCACAAGACAAAGAAAGAGACGAGGATGAACGCACGACTGTGACACAAAACGAGTAAGGCAGCGAGGGTCTGAAGGATCCCTCTGACAGAGTCCGTCCCCTGTCGAGCACAGATCACCAACAAATACTGACGACACACACACTGCAGGGGCCGAGTGCAATCAGGGAACACAAGCTCACCGAGCCATCAGGTGTTCTAGTGAAACATTAGCAGGAAAGATGGCCGCTGTTCTCCTTCCTTCTTGAAAAAGGCACACTACACGATGAGTCAGGGAACGACCCGGTTTCAGTCTGTAGATCTCCTGGAGTCACAGCAGGCTCCTCCAAGCTCCAGCCTTGATTCCTGTGTTGGTGTGGATGTCTCTGTGTGCATGTGTTAGAATGTGTGTGTGTCCGTGTTTTTTTTATTTTTATATATCTGTTGAAGCTGAGAGAGATCACAGTTTGGGCTGGTTGGCTAGCTTCATCTTCAGGTTCTCTGCCAGTTTGTCGATGAACTCAAAGGTGTTCAAGTAGTCGGCACGTGTCACGCTGCGAACACAGGAAAGAGGAGAAACTGTTGAGCCATCAATCCAACAGCAATCCTCAAATCCTGAAGAAGAGATTTGGACTGCAAAAATCCAAACCTGAGCTCATAGTGAACAATGTTGCCTCATCTACAGCTCAACAAAAAGCGCTGAAGAGTTGGAAGACTTACTGTGGCAGGCCTTTGATGCAAATAGCCAGATCCTTGGTCATGAAACCGGCCTCGATGGTCTCGATACAAACGGCCTCCAGAGCCTCGGCGAACACTCGCAGCTCTGTATTGCTGTCCAGCTTCGCCCGGTGGAGCAGACCCCGCGTCCATGCAAAGATGGAGGCTGCAGGAAAAAAACAATCGCCCGATTAAGCTTGTGAATCCATGCACAGTATCTCTATCCTATACAACAAGGGTTTTGCTTGAGTTGTACCGATGGGATTGGTGGAGGTCTCTTTCCCCTGCTGATGCTGCCTGTAATGGCGTGTCACGGTGCCGTGTGCGGCCTCCGACTCCACTGTGCGTCCATCAGGACAAATCAGCACGCTGGTCATCATACCCAGAGAGCCGTAACCTGAAACCGTCAAACAGCACAAGTAAGAAAAAGAACAGGATGTGGATTATGAGGAAGATTAGGGTACAGTTGTAGACATGATGACCTCACCTTGTGCGACAGAGTCAGACTGGACGTCTCCATCGTAGTTCTTGCACGCCCAGATGAAGCCTCCCTCAGATTTCATGGCCTGAGCCACCATTCATCAATCAGACGGTGCTCGTACCAGATGCCTTTAGCTTCAAACTGAGCGCGGTATTCCCTGCGCGCACACACACACACACACACGAGACGGTGGAGAAAACCTCTTAAAGATGTAATTCACCTCTGGTATAAAAGAGAGAGAGAGAGAGAGAGAGGAGAGAGAGAGAGATTTGCGCATGTGAGAGTGACTTTGTGTGTGCCTTACTTCTCGTAGATCTCCTGGAAGATGTCTTTGAAGCGCCCGTCATACGTTCTTCAGGATGTGTTCTTGGTGCTGAGGTACAGAGCCCAGCTCTTGGACAGAGCCATTTGGAAGGAGCTG